CCAGCACTCTTGATTGCTCCGAAAAAGGGTTTGCATTTGTCCGAGGAGCGTGAGACGAAACGGTTAAGTGCAGCCAGCATCCCTGTGAGTTTCTGGACTTCTCGGACAGTGCGGGGGCTCCGGATGTCCAGGATTGCTTGAATCTGATCTGGGTTGGCTTCGATTCCTTGTTGACAAAACAGGTATCCGAGGAATTTACCTGATTCCACTCCGAAAATGCACTTTGCCGCATTCAGCTTCAGCCTATACTCCCTGAGGGTGGAGAAGGTATCTGCCAAATCTGTCAGATGATCACAACTCCGTTTGCTCTTTACCAGCATATCATCTATGTAGACCTCCATGGTGTTGCCGATCTGCTTTTTGAACATCCGATTCATCAGTCTTTGGTATGTTGCCCCGGCGTTCTTTAGTCCAAACGGCATCACTTTATAACAGTAAACTCCATTCGGAGTGATAAACGCCGTCTTTTCCTGATCCGGGGCATAGAGAGGGATCTGATAATATCCCGCTCGGGCATCCAGGAAGTCCATTCGTTCGTATCCGACAGTNAGAGAGAGGAAGGAGAAAACACTGAGTGTGTATTGTAGTAAAGAGTTTTTTGTTGCATACCCGTCTTGCCTTTTGCAAGGAGTATTTATACCTCAAAAGCTCATGATTGCTGTCAGTGTAGTCAGTAGGTGATCATTAGGTACAGGCAGTGTGCGCACTGATTCTGATGAGGAATGTCTTCTCTTCTTAACTGCTCGGGGTCCCGAGCAATCAATGCTGGGTCATCGGGATGCCGACGGTACAATGTACTCCTCTCGGGGAGGATGCAATAAATGCTCTGTATTAGGAGCATTTATTGCCTTTCATTTCCGAGCCTTACCGCATTGAATGCGGTCTCATCAAGGGAATGGTGTAATTAATCGTTTGCTTTCCCAAGTCGCGTGTCAGCAACGGCATGCGGTTTCTCTGTCTTCGATGTGATATTATATGCCACGCGTCCATCCTCCATTGGCTGTGGCCACTGCATTCCAGTACGTTCTGACACTAATTGTGTAAGACGAGGTCATGATGACTAGCCTAGGCTAATGACCTGTACGTCAATAGCTTATCCTGGAGTAGAGGAGGCGTCCAGGACGGGGTACACCTCGGCACCGAGGAAAGGCTCATCTCGGAACCGAGGGAGGGATACCGACCGAGGTACCATATCAGACAGAGGCTACGTGTTGGTTGTAAAACGTACTGAATGCCATGATCCTAAATGACGAGTACCTCGGGGGCGAGGACCTTTATGCACCGATGATGCTTGATCTTAGCAACAGTGTTTTGGTAATACCGAAGACACGTGTCTTCATCACAGAGCATTTCAGAAAAATCTCATAAGTACTGTCGAATTAAATTCTTATCGCTTAATTCAACTTTTGTCATGTTTATGTTAGTATTCATGGTACTAAAACAACTACTTAATTCAATGACACTTCGTACAATACTGGAAAACGAAGAGAATAAAAAAAAAAAAGCTTATTTTTCTCTTACAATACCACCATCAAAATGATTTATTTCTGACTAAAAAAAAAAAAGGAAATTTATCAAATTTGAAATTCCAAGCTTTTCATCATTGATTTTCGTTGTCCATTCTGTCAATTTATATATATTGTATTGTCTTGTTAACAAACTGTTGCTTATCTTGACGTCAACCTTCTTCAATTCTGGAAATATGGAAGATAGTATGATTGGCCAACTTGAATTAATTTCGTTAACCGAAGAAGAGGAGGCTGTAATAGATTTTGAATATAAAGATATTGCTGGTAATATGATAAATAATTATGATTTTTTAAAACTAATTTTGATTTCTATTACCACTGTTTTGGTAAAGAATACCACTATTTTGGATAATATTACCACTTTTTTGATTAAAATTACCACTGTTTTGATTAAAAGTACCACTGTTTTGGATAATATTACAACTTTTTTTGTTACAATTACCACTATTTTGGTTAACAATACCACACTTTTGGTTAACATTACTACGTTTTTTGTTGATATTACCACTTTAGAAAGTTACTCAAAACATACTTTTTGGGACCTATTTTCCTATTAAATTTGAGATGTCAATATCAATCGTCGGATTAACTTTAAGGTAAAATTTAAAGAGATCTCAACTGCGAAAAACAAAAGTCATTTTATTTAGTTTTTTATAGTTGAATTGTATTGTATTTTATTATATAGACTATTTATTGTATGTGCCTGAATGCACGAATTAAAAAAAATAGTTAATAATAAACATATTTATATTCATTCCAAAAATCAAATCACAAACATGAGAGATAAAGAAATTTAAGTACCGTTCTAGTAGAGGTGAGCCATGGTAATGGTGGTGGTGGGAGATGGTGATGATTGTGGTAGATGGTGGCAGCCGTGGGTGACAACGGTGATAGTGGTCATGGGTTTTAGGTGACGATGGTGGTAATGACATTCATGGGTGACGACGGTAATGAGTGTGGGTAGTGGTGGCCGACGGTGATGGTTGTTGTTAGTGGTGGTGGTGGGGCAACAATGGTGGTTGTAGCAATGGTGGATTGTGATGGTGGGTAGTGACGATGGTGGTAGTGGGTGACGATGGGTGTTTCTAGACGACAGTGTGATAGGTGGTGGCGAATAGCGATGATGGTAAACGTGGTGGGGGTAGGTTACAATGAGTAGCGGTAATGGTGGGCGATGACGAGTGGTGGTGGTAAGTGTGGTGGGGGTGGGTGACTGTGGCTGACAGTGATGGTGAGCGACGACGGGTGATGGTGTGTGTTGACGATGGGCAACGGTGATAGTGGGATGATTATGGTAATAAGATGATGGTAGTAGTAATAATAATATAAGAATGAGATGATAATAGGGGGGTGACTAATGACAATGAACGATGGTGGTAGCAATTTAGCGGTGGTGGAGGGGGCGATAGGTGTGGTGGCTACAACAGTGGTTGTGGTTGTTGTGGTAGATATGGTGGTGGTGATAGTTGTGGGGTGGCAGTGAGGGTGATGGTAATGAGGTGATTATAAATACTATTTTTTTAAAGTACTTATGAGAAATTATAAGTACTAAAAATACTTTTAAAAATTCACTTAAAACACATTATTAAAAACATATTTTCTCCATTAAATTTGGGGTATTAAAATTATTAATATTAGCCGTCGGATTAACTTTAAAATAAAATTTAAAGAGATCTCAACCGTGAAAAATAAAAGTCATTTTATTTATTTTTTAAAATTTAAATTGTATTGTACTTTATTATATAGATATTTATATTTATCTCTCATATTAATAACAATACCTTAAGATGGAAAAGATTTGAATATCTATGTTACCCTTATAAAGGATTGTAAAGACCACTTCATCATTTTACAATTAAATATTTAAATTATAATTATATTTGATGCATTTAAATCTCCAAATTATCTATAGTCTCTATTAATTATTAATTCTCGATATATAAATATCAGTTTCTATAAAAAAATTTGATTGACTATATTACCCTTAGAAAATATAAATCATTATATTTTTATTAAAATGTTCAAAAACCTTCAAAAACTCCATCAATCTAATATTACTTATCCAATATAAAAAGATAACATTATGTCTACATATTTGTATTTTCTTTTTTATCGAAAAGTATAATTATTTCATTTTTAAGATAAAAAATAATCGTATATATATAATTTTTTAAAATTATTTTATGCTACATTAGTCTAATTCGTTCGTCATAATAAAATTCCTAAATTGTACTAAGATTTAATGTAAAAATAGATATTGTAGTGTATTTTTAAGTAAAATTTGAATTTTTTATAATTTCAATATGCTTAATAATATATATTATAGACTAGTATATTAAATCTTATCTTAATTGACCTAACTAATTCTTAATTATAGTAAGGTTTTAATATGATTAGTATATTGATAATTAATTTTATTTTCTTCAAAGAATTATAAGTGAAATCATAATGAAATAAATTTCAAAAAATTTAATTTCTCAAACATACTAAAATAACAAAATTAAACTTTCTTTTTAATAGAACATTAACTATTTCTTTTGATCTTTTTTTTTTTTTTTTTATAGTTAGAACAAAGAATTTTGGGAACATACAAAGTTTTCATAATCTTATAAAAGAATATGAGGAATAAAAAATTAAGTTTAATAAATTTAAGATAATATTTAATTTAGATACACATGTATCTAGTATATTTTATTAATTATTGTGTTCGACATTGCTAGTATAAATAGATATGTTTACACAGAGAGAAAGGGGGGGGGGGGGGTTT